CCGTCGGCCAGTATGATTTTTTTAAAATGATTTGTTGGCCATTTAGTTGGCCACTTTGCGTTGGCGCGAAGCTTCAATACTATAGTTTTTTTAGGGGGGGGGGTGTTTTTGAAGCTTCGCGCCTTGCTATTCTTTTTCGCAGAAATTGAGAATATTGAGATTTCCGTGGAAGACTGCGAACAGGCCGGCGAGAAGGTCGCATGCAGATGTACCGGGTTGGTGGAAGTGTGGATGCATAGCGTTGGCCTTGTTTTCTTTGCATTTCTGAAAAAAAAAAAAAAAAAAAGGCCGCCACACACCGATTTACTCAATGCTAGTGGGTCTCGGCTCCCGGACCAGCTTGAAGTGACTGCTCCTACCAGCACCTCAAGCTGCATCCGTGGTTGTTTGCAAAAAAAAAAAAAAAAAAACTGCAAAGGGTCCGATGTGATGCTTCCTGCAAAGGGCAGGACGCAAAGGGCCCTATGTGACGCTTCCCAGCGGGCCAGGAAAAACCGGTGCCGCGCGGCAGGCCCAAAAAGCGGCCAGAGTGAGGTGCGTGCCGCTCGGCAGGCCCAAAAGCGGCCAGAGTGAGGTGCCCGGGCGGACCAAGGAGCAAAACGGTTCCCCGCGGATGCATTTTTTTCTCCCGATTTTTCTTCCCGTGTTTGATTTTTCTTCCCGTGTTTTTCTCTCAACCCCCTGTTCAGGGCACTAGAGGCACGCATTTTGCGTGTTCACACAAAAGCCTGGACAGCCGCCGGCTTACATATTTTGCGGGGACCTCCAGACAACGTATTTCTTTTTCCTCTACTGCTTTCTGGAAGCAAAAAAAAACAAAAAAAATGCATTGTGCTGTCTGACTGCAGGCAACGTTTTTTTTTTTTTTTTTTTTTTTTTTTTTTTTTTTTTTTTTTTTTTTTTTTGTTGGGCCGCGCCATGCTTCACTGCAGTGCAATACGAAGGCAACACTGGAAGGGTCGAGTAGGCAAGCCTACCCGTACGACCCCTCCATAGCCCTGAAAAATTAATTTAATATCGTGTGGTCCGATGGACCACAGATCAGATATTAAACTGATCAGAACAGATACTACACTTGATCTTAGCCAAAAGGCCGAGAAAGGTATTAGACAACGTTTTTTTTTTTTTTTTGGAAAGCATCCACACATTATATTGCAAGATAATTGGGATGAGGCTTGGGACCTCACAATTCAACCCGGAGTTATCCTGGCAGCCTTAGCCAGTTTAGCTTACGAGCTCCGCTCTATGGGCCTCGCTGCATTACTCTCGAAATGTGCAAAACGAGAGTGAATCTAATGCTAGAATATGGAAAGATACGCGGCCATGATTTTTGTCTTTTGTGCATTTCAAGAGTAGTGCAGCGACGCCCCATGTCTTTCACAGTTCCAGATAAGCCTTTCTCCACTACTGCTGAAAACCGGGTCCAGCATCCCAACTGAATCCAGGAACTTTCCAAAAGTTAACTCTTGAAGCTCGAAAAAAGGAGGCTTTCCCTTGTGAGCCACACTCGGCTTCCAGCTGTTCAAACAAAACCATTACAAACCTACAGCTGGAAACCGGGTCCAGCGTCCCATTTTAAAACCGTACTTTCCAGCTAAGCCTTAATGGTATGATGCGAAAGGACTGTGCTCCACAGCCACAACTAAGCTTTTCCAAATCAACAGCCTAATCCGGCCCTCTCCCCCTAATTTCCTTCAGGGCGGCTTAAGCCAGTGGCAGATAGCCAGCTTCCTGTCCTGAGATACTGACAACGTATTTTCGCTTCTCAAGGCCAGGTCGCGACCCTGTCTTTTCTGCTTTGGGCAACAAATGGGTGACCAGTGTGACCCGCAGGTGCCATATAAATGCAAATTCACATACGTAAAATGTGCGGAAGTACGTGCTAGTGTGAGTATGCCCTGAGTTCCGTTTCCCGCCAGTCTGTGGAGCCGGGCTGGGGGCCGCGTGGATATGGAAAAGGGTGGCTATCGAGGGAGGAAGGACACAGGAGGAGGGAGGAGGAAGACGGAGATTTATTCGATTTTGCTCATCCTATAGACGAAGGCAGCGTGGATATGGAAAAGGGTGGCTATCG